CCCCCCCCCCCCCCCCCCCCCTGTTTTGTTTTGTTTTGTTTTTCGGATTTCGACCTTTTTTGTTTTTTGTTATTTTTTGTGTTGTTTTGTTTTGTTGTGTCTTGTTTCCCCAATAAATTGATGCGACCGGCCGTTGGCTTGCCCGACCCCCGAAAGTTGCGGCGCGTTAACGCCGCAACTTCTAAGAAACAACGGGGAGGTACTGATGGTTTAACAACCGGTAGGTACTGGTGGACCTTCACTCCCTCCGACAGCAGGAAATAGCCCCCCCTGTAAGTTCGGGGAGGTTTTGAGGAAGGGCGGCGACCGGAGGCCGAAACGGCGGGCCTTGTCCCACAATGTGACATCGGCAACTTTGGCGCTTATTTCACGGTCAAAATGATTGTTTTTATTTTTTCTAATATTTTTYCTTGAAATATCATGACCTATTCTACGGACCCTTAAAATTTCAGGCGATTTGCTGCATTCGTCAGTGCTACAAAAATCGCCAAATTTACCGCTTGCAAATGGCGGGATTGGACCGGGCGGGCCACGAAAATTGACTTTGCGAAAAAAAACAAATCGGCGCGGCGCTTATTTCACGGTTAAAATGATTTTTTTATTTTTTTCTGATACTGTTCCTTGAAGGATCACGACTTAATCTACGGACCCACAAATTTTCAGGCGATTTGAGAAATTCTTCTGAGCTACAAAAATCGCCAAAGTTACCGCTTGCAAATGGCGGGATTGGACCGGGCGGACCACGAAAATTGACTTTGCAAAAAAAAACGAATCAGCACGGCGCTTATTTCACGGTCAAAATGATTTTTTTAATTTTTTTATGATATTTTTCCTTGAAAGATCACAACCTAAGCGACGGACTTTCCAATTTTCAGACGATTTGATAAATTCTGCTGAGCTACAAAAATCGTCAAAGTTACCGCTTGCAAATGGCGGGATTGGACCCGCCGGTGACAAACGGTCGCTGCCCCTCCGTTGAACCCGGTCCTAACTCACAGGGACTGGGGGGGTTCGGCGGCCGGGGACTGGTGGTTTAGGCTTTGGACACACAGGCACATCCTGACGTGCCAGCAGCCTGATGCAGATACACTTCAAAAGAATACAGTCCCCTAAAACATACAGGGACCCAGTTCGCCTCAATGGTTATCTCAATGAGCAATTCGGTATTTCGAAGTCTGTCCATGGGTTCAAACCCCAACCCGACCATTGCAACCGAACTCTGAATACTTACTAATATATATATATAGTGTGTGTGTGTGTGTGTGTGTGCGTGGGTGGGTGGGTGCGGCCAGGCAGGCGTGTGTGGGTGGGTGGGTGGGTGGGTGGCATCCAACCAACTTTTTTGCCTCTTCCCGCCGCCCGGGCGTGTGTGTGTGTGGGTGGTTGGGTGGCGTCCAACCAACTTTTTTGCCTTTTCCCGCTGCCCGGGCGTGTGTGTGTGTGGGTGGTTGGGTGGCATCCAACCATCTTTTTTGCCTTTTTCTGCTGTCTTTTCCCGCCCGCCGCTGCGAATAAGCGGGTGAAAGAAACGAAAGTCCGTCCTTTGTCTTTTCCCGCCCGCCGCTGCGAATAAGCGAGTGAAAGAAACAAAAGTCCGTCCTTTGTCTTTTCGCGTCCGCCGCTGCGAACGAAAGTCCGTCCTTTGTCTTTTCCCGCCACTAAAAAGAAAAAAAGAAAAGCGACCGGACAACGCAATGCCCGCGAGAAGAAAAAAAGAAAAGCGAGTGAAAAACAAAGTGAAAAACGAAAAAAAAAAAAACGAAAAAAGAAAAGAAAAAAGGAAAACGACGCGTTCTTGCGATCCGACGGCCGGCGCTTCGAGATATTCCCTCCTATCGACGCCCGCCGCCGCATGGCCTTGTGGGAGTGCTCTTTCGTTCTTTGGCGCGCTGTGAACAATTCGGTACGCGCACCGCTCTGCACACCGCCACTCCCTCGATCGCCTTCATCCCCCGGCCCGCATCAAAAGTTGAACCCGATTCCGGCGCGCAGCGGACCACCGGCCTCCCCCCACGGCCAATGCTCCTTAAGGGTTAGGATATATATATATATATATATATATATATATATATATATAGTGCCAGCGGCATGTCTGGAGTGTATTTTTTGGCTGTGACAGACCTTTCTTTGTTTCGTGGGTGTTTTGCTGGCTTGTGATGGGGTGTGAACCGACAGTCTGTAGAGTTTTCCATCTAGTGTGGGTGAGTGATAGTCTACTTTGATTTCGGTTAAGGTGGATTATCACTTACAGTGTAATCAGTGAGGGGATTCTGCAAACTGTTGAGG